ATGGATATCCATCATGGATTTGGATGGATGCTCCACTGACAGATGGGCATGTGCCCAGTAAACAAGTGGAAATACTTAGAGAGCATAGAGAAAAAGCCTTCCACCAAGCCTGGCTTTCACTGAGCTTCTCTCAGCAGCTACTACAACTTCACTCTGCAAATATACAAAACACAGGTTAGCAAAATTCAACTACGTTTCTAAAAAAGGAGTTCTTGTCTGGAGTTCCCTGGCTATGACTAGCTCCTAGCTTTAGGTTCTGTCAATATTGTGTCAGGTAGAAGCATAAAGAAGAAGAAATAGTCACACCCTTAACTTGTACACCTGTGTCAGCAAAGGCCCTAGCAGAGATATAGTTACAACACTGAGAACCTTTTCACTGCTATAGATCAACTAAGCAGAGGAGCCAGTATAACCAATGTGACACAAACATTCTTTCACAGGTATAATCTATGTATTCTTTTAAGGGCTGCCAACACCATCACATACTTTGTAGCTAATATGAGGCTTGAGTGACAGCTGGGTCTTTTGGTGCCTGAAAATACACGAAGCAGCTGCTTGTAGAGCAGCCTGCTCTGACATTGCCTGAAAAGTGTGTATGCTTTGAAAAATGCTTGCCATGTGAGAAACAGCCCTTGGTAGTGAGTAACCTTACAGGGGGGGCCTTTTTTCCAGCAGCGTGAGGTCAAACCATTTATATGAGGATTGGCATAGAGACAGCCAGTCATCTCCTTGACTGATTGCTGGTGTTTTTATTACACAGAACCAGTGAAGAAAATGGACAGAATCCCAGTGACTTGGAGTCCCTGGGATATGCCTAACTTCCTTAAAGCACCCTAAATTCAGCAGATGAATGGCAATATACATGGTGCCAGGTATCATATGCACATGGTGCAGGCAAATATGGGCAAGAAATGAACAGCATTTGTTTTTCCTCACCTTTGCTTCAGATTTAACAGTGATGACAGAGCTCCCAAATCTTGATCTTTCCTGCAAAATAAGATTGCTCGTTATGTTCCAGGAATATTCGCTTAAAACAAGAGGAACTTTCTCACTTTCAAGCAGCTGATTTTCTGGTTACTCACTTCAGGAGAAATCAATACATATTGTGCCTGAAACAAAGAGAGAGTTTATTACTACCACTGTGCTTACAGTATTGTCACTTGCAGAATAAGGGCCTAAGACTCCAGAGCAAAAGCTTATGCAATATTGCTTCTGGACATGAAGAGACCCAAATTGCATGGATTTCTAAAAGAATGATAGTAGAGGAAACAACTGTTGTTTTACTGAAACAAAGCCTTAGCTTACCAATTATTTATGAAAATAAATAAATGGATGCAATTAATTGATTGTCCTCATGGCAATCTCCTAGTTTTGCTCTTATGTTTCCTTACCCAGTCCTCAGGACAAGGAGAAGTCCATGATTTGCAGTGGTCTGTCACATCACCCAATGTGGTCTGGTTTCCATTATATATGTAAACACGTCCAGCCTCCCCACCAAAGATTCCAGATGTGATGTCTGTAGTTCTCAGAGGGGATGTCACAATAATTTCATCTGCAAATATTCATCACAAAGAAGATCAAGGGGAAATACCAGACCAAAATAGAGCAGTTGGCATTTCCACAGCTTTATATCAGTGGTCTCCAGCTTTTTCAATTAGATCAACTTTGACATTTAAAAGCAACCCAAGATGCTCCGCCACCACCTCCCCAAAAGGTAAATCTGGGGGGAGGGAAGGGGGACCAGATGAAGGCAGAGGGAGAAAAAAAGATTGGGGGGCACGCCTCCCCAACAGGTAAGTCCCACCTGGCCAGGGCCCCACTCAACTTACTCCTGCACCTGCCTCTGCAGTGCTGTCCCTCACCAAGGGAGGGCCTCAATCTAGCCCTCGCCCCTTCCCTCCCCTACAAACAGACCTGCTGAGCTGGGGCATGCATGGGCA